GCGCGACAGAAGTTTCCCATACCGCTGGGTTTCCATGGTTTTGCAGCGCCGCGAGTTCTTGTTCTCCACACCCTGCGAACATTTATGTCCACACATGTTCTTGAACTCGGGAGGCCCTCCGTGGCGAGACCGGTTTTGCTAGTGTTTTTGGACCCCAAAATGAAGGCCACAAATTCACCCGAAAATGCATTTTTCGTCCGTTGGTGATCGGAAAGGTGACGGGAGATCTGGGCATTGTGCCTTTTGATGTTTGAACGATGTCGATTGTGCTTTTTCCTGAACTGTTTTCCAGAAGAGTTTTGGCTTTGGAGAGTTTCTGAATCTGTTTGTGTTTTCGTTGTTGTCCGTCTGTGTTCGGATCCGTCCGGATGAGTTCGGAAGAGTTTTGGTGCTTGGTGTTTGCAGCGTGTGGATTTGGAACCTCTCGTTGTGTCGACGGAACTTTAGTGGAAGGACGTGTCCGAGAGCAGTCGTTGAGGTCCGACTAGGTTCGGAGGTGTAGGAGGACTGTTTCTTGTAGATTTAGGAGCCTTCTGTTTCGTGATGCAGTGTTTTTGAGTTTTTGCTGAATTTGAGGAGTGCATGAAACTTGGAATCTGGATGGCAAGCATTCACTGTGGAATCCAGTTTGCTTACCCGAACCTCCGGATAGCTACCTCTTTCCTAAGGAAATTGAGACGTTTTCATTTTGCTGCACTGTTTTGCCTTGCGCTTGTATGCATGTTTGATACTCAAGCCTGTTCAGCGACCGCCGCGCTATCGATCGTTCGTGCTCTTTTTTTCCATCTTGGAAAGACAATGGCCAATACGATGTCCTCTCCAGAGGTTGCGATTCGTGAGGGTGAGACTCATGAGGTGACTCCAGAGACACCAGCTGCCGTCGATTTGACGGTATCAGAGCCCGGAGCAGCCACTCAGAGTGGGGATGCCTCACGGATTCGAAAGGGGTCGGCAGTGCTTGCCAATTTCCCCTTTGAGGGAGAGGAGGCTCATTCTGTTTCCAATGCCAGGCTGAAGGAGCTCCAGCTATGTGACACAGAATTGAGTCAGGAGTTCTTCCAAAGGACTACCCTTCAGGCACTCAAAGAGGAGGTGTGCAGATGGCACAAGTCTGGGGACTTGATCGAAAAGGATTTGATGACCATCGACAACCTGGTTGAGGAGTTGCGGACCAAAGCTTGCAACCAGGATACCGGAGAGAGTGACACCTTTATGTCCGAGGGGCCGCTGAAAGGAAAAGCTTTGGTGGAAGTTCTGCGTGTGCAACACGCCAGCCGTTGGCGCCTGCAACAAGTGCGAGACGGGGAATCACTGTTCTCGTATTGTTATTTCACCAAATATGTTGGGCTGGGAGACGCGACCATGCCGGAGTCTACCTCCAACCTTCAGGAGCTCCAACGTGAAGGGGTTCTTGATGTGGTGAAGTGGGTGGTCAATCGCATGAGCGACACTGCAAAGTGCAGTCCAGCAGTTGGTCGGGGATGGTGCAGAATCTTCAGAAAGCGAATCTAAGATGAAGATCTTGTTGCTGGAGTGGTAGGCCTTCAAGCAGCGAATAGGATTGCCCTTGAGGACAATCAGAAGCAGGGCCGCGCCCTGCAAAGGACCGCAGAGAACGTGTGTTGGCAGGTCAGCGGGAGCGGAAAATCGCAGAACCAAATTTTGAAAGACTTAATGATCTCTATGAGCAGGCTTTTACCGTCTGTGGGTGGGCATTCTTCCAAGTCGCACAAGATTGCTGAATCCAACTCTGAAACTTTGGAGAGCATTGAAGCGCACCTCAGTTCCATCAGCGATGGAATCAAGAAGCTGGTGGAACAGAATCAGACTCGTTCCCAAGGTGACAGTGCGCCTCCAGCCAATCCACCTGTGGGATCGCCAAAGGTTGATGCGGCAGCTGCCACGGCAGCTGCCACGGCAAAGGCTGTGACAGCAGCACACCTGGGGACTGGATTGACACCGCCCAAGGCAATGCCTTTGCAGCCGACTGTTGAGGGATTGGGCTCAGCGCCTTCGAATTTGCCGTCACCAGTATTTCCAATGACTGGACCTGGGCAGATTCCAGCTGGGCAGATTTTTCCTGGGCAGATTCCACCTGGGCAACTTCCACCTGGGCAGACGCCAGCTGGACCGATTCCATCTCAGGTGGATCCAAACCTGATGCCAATGGCTCCTACTTGGAACTATGGTCCACCACAATTCTATGGAGCTGGAACAGGCGCCACCATGGCAGGGCCGGTGTATAAAAGGATTAAATTGAACGATGGCACCGAGGGCCTTGAGCGAGTGGGATGATGGAGAAGAAATCCTTTCATCTCCAAGGCAGTGGCCGGGATTGTAAAGACCTAAGCCATTTGTCTTTAGAAGCGCACCGACAGCAAGACCAGCCTTGAAAAAGGAATTCAGCAGGGATTCAATTGTGCTTCAACTTGTTTTTGTTGAACTTGGAGTGACTTCGAGTTTGCAAGGGTTTGACTGCACTTCAACTCTGTCTTGTGAACTTGAGAGAGTTTTGTTTTGAGTTGATGAGGGTTGAACTCGACTTCAGTGAACTCAGTTTCATTTCCTTCAACTTTGTCTTGTGGATCAAGCTGTGAAGGCACAAGGGTCGAACTTTGCTGAGTGCACCAGGGTTGGAAAGCAGAGGCCGCCAGAAAACAAGAGGGATTGATGCACGACCAAGAGAAACAGTAAGAGGGGTTGAGTAGCTAGAAGGGTTGAGAGCTAGATTCATCTTCTTGCTGTCTTGTGGATGTGATTGGTTGCAGTTGAATGTAAGTAAAAGGGTTTAGACTCACGATGTGCTTCTTGAACCGTAAGAGGGATGGAGTAACTAGAGGGTTGAGACTAGACTCCTTTTGCTTGCTGTTTAGAGCTTTGTGCACTTTTGGACTTGGCAGGTTTTGTCACGATAGGTAGTTGTCGCTTTTGACCTGTCAGGTGTTCACTTGAAAGCAACTGGCTTTCGAGACTCGTAAGGCCATGCCTTCTGAGGGATCTTGACCAGTTTTGTCTGTTGTCTTGCTTGGTTGAACCTTGGTCGATTGAGTTGAAGCTTGTTTGATACTTGCTGACTGGAGTTTGTTGACGATTGATCGACCTGGAGACCAGTTTGGAGCACAGGAGTTGAGATCTTAGTTGATGCTCGAACCTTAGTGGCTCAGAGAAAACGAATTGAAGAGAAGAAGAAGACAGGAAGAACCAGGAGAAGGTACGAGGTGACCCAAGAAGGGGTGTGAAAAGTGTGGATAGCGCGCCTGTACAGTGTGTGGATCACCTAGTACCTCTTTGTAGTGGAACTTTTCGTTTTTCTGTCCTTGGGGTTGGAGCTGAGTAGGGGTCTTCCTCCTGGGAGTGTGCTCTCTTTGACCACCTTAGCAGGACTAAGTGGAATGTGACCAGAAGTGGCTAGGAGCATGTCTAGAGAAGCCCTATGTAGAGAGCTGTAGTGCTTGAGATGAGCTGTGTATAGCCTAGGTTTGCTTGAGAGTGTTTTGAGATGCTTTCTTGTACTTTGAGTATGTTTTGGACGACTGTGACCAGTCAGACCTCTTCAGAAGAAGAGTGGATGAACAGAGATACAGTCAAACCGACTGTAACGTTTGGCTCAAGAGCGGGATTCAAAAAGGGGACGCTACTGCTTCCGTGTTTTCACAATTTCATGCAAATGTCAGTCAACCATCTGCATGGTGATGAATCTGCCCAATTGCCAGCCGAGGTGTCAAGCACCCGCGTTCTTTCGCAACCTGTGATGTCAGCAGATTTGCCCTTGTCTTTTCCGGTGGGTGACACGAGGGCGAAGGGCATGTGTTCAAATTGCTTTCCAACTTCGCGTGCCGATTGCAGAAATGCATAGCCTCTACTGCTCCTGTCAAAGAAACTTCGTTGTTGCAGGGGTCTTCTGTCCTGCGTTGGGAATTCCTGGCGCCCTGAAGATTGCAGCGCTGTTGCATTCAGCAAGTCAAGAGGTTGGCCGCCGACCTTATGGTCACGCATGCGGATGCTGGGCGAACAACGTGCCACCTGCTTTTGCTAAATGCAAACAGTGCTGTTCCTTTTTGCACGAGTGGAGACGCCATGTGTGCAGAGATTGCACAGGTCATCTTGTTTTAATTGAGTTACTGGCCAGGAAGAAAGAACCAGGAAACCGAGCAGAAACAGAGCAGGTCATCGAATGGGAGAAAACCGTTGTTGGTGCAAACGCAAGCGGAGGGAGAATGTCTGATGGGATCCATCAGCAGCCGTTCTTTCCACCTTGGCACTTCAAACTTCCGTGATTGTTTATCTGTGTGTGGCTGGGAATCAGGATGGCATTGGTATGCTCACCCTTTTTGGAAAACATTGTTTCTGGTGCTTTTTGGACCCTAAAAGTTAAACTTCCAGCGGCCAAGCTGAGAGCAGCCAAGTTCAGACCTTTTTCAAGGCTGCCTTTCAAACATGTTTTCAAGCATTGGACCCCTTCTTTGGGTCTCAAGGTTTGTCAAGCTGTCACTCTACAAACTGTTGGGCAGGCAAAGTTCTTGTTTTATTTCGCGGTTGGTCAGAACTTCTGGCTTGGAAGGTTTTGCAATGGATGGGTCTTTCAAGCAGGCTTAAAGGGCATTGGAGGCCTGCAAGTGGCTTGTCAGCAAGATTCGTTGGTTAAGATCTCGCCCCAAAGACTGCAGAATGTTTGGATGGGCAACAGGATTTCGGTCCGAGAACAGTCCAGCAATCACTCACTCTTTATCAATCAAGTTAGATCACCAGAACCAGTGCGAAAACATGAGAACACCTCATGCAATTTTAAGGACCAATCTTCCAACTGCCAAAGCCACACTTGTTCTTGGGCAAGCAATCCTTTGTGTCATTAGGTCAAGTGATTGCTAGGAATGCCAAGTTTAGAATCCCCAAACTGGTAAGACATCGATAAACGCCGGCACTCCACTGACGGTGGGCCTCGGGTCGTGGGTGGCCTTACCTATGAGCTGCGAAGACCCTCAGATTCTTGATCTGCAGTGATGGAGGGCGGTGAGCAGCAAGCATCCGACTTTCAGGACCCAGAGAACACGGCGCTTGAAGTGATGCCTTTCAAGGGGAATTATTTTCTGGCATAACTGGAGCCTTTGCCAGAAAAGGTCTTCATTGGGTTTTTTGAAATAGCATACTTGTTTATATATACACTTCATGTTGCTTTTGTTTTGTTGATATTATGCAGGACCTGGATTTGATTGTCGACACAGACATGGGCCTCGATGACATGGCTGCTCTCCTGATGTTGGTGACTGCCGGGGCTCGGCTATGCTTGGTCACCACGGTGCACGGGGTGTGCGCAGCTCCGTTGGCAGCGCCATTGGCCCAACGTTTGCTGCTTGGAGTGGATGGATCAGCTCGTGTGGTGCCAGGTGCCGCCCAGAGCTTCAGTGCGGCTGCAGAGCTCCCCTCCTGGGTCGAAAGGCATCGGGCCAAGCTGGAGAATGTCAGTGAACTTCTCAATCTCCCTGAGCTTCCAGAGGTAGTTTCAAAGGAGACTCCTCGGAACCAAACAGCTTTGACTGCTTTTCTGGAACTTGACATCAAGGGCGTGACGCTCTTGGCCTTGGGACCTTTGACTAATGTGGCGGCGGCAGCAAAAGCTGATCTTTCCAAGTTCCGGGAAGTCGTCGGGAAGATCATTGTGGCTGGGGACAACACAAAAGCCAACCCTTTCAACTTTCGCTTGGATCCAATGGCTCTAGATGTGGTCCTGAACTCTGGCGTGAGGTGCTCAGGATTCTGAACAGACATTTATAGTTTATAATCTTCGTAGCATTTCACTCTGGTATTGCATAGAGGCGACCTCCCACGAAGGTGGCACCATTGGAGCATACCACCTCGAAGTGTTTATTGTGTTTACATGTTTTGAACGAGAAACCGGTGACGGTGTAACGTTAGCTTGTGGAAGAAGCTGCTAAGGTTCCGATCCACATGGTGGGAACATGCTGTCGGCCGGATGCCACACAGCTGGACGGATGTTTGGACAAGTCCCTGGACCACCCGATGCTGCTGAAAATTTTGGAGCAGCATCCCTTGAGTTTGGTTATAGCCCAAGAGAATTTGTTCATGTGTGGACTCAATGAGAACTTTTTTGTTGACCAAACTCTTTGTCTCAGTGATTCGTTAGGTCCAAGATCCGGTGACTGCAGCGTATTTCCTCGCCCCAGAGATCTTCAGAATTGCGCCCCTAGAAGCCCAGAGCTCAGCGTTGCAGGGATTTAATTTCCCAGACCATTTTCAGTCCTTTTCAACCCCGAGACATCCCCAGACCTTCTAAAGTTGCCACATCGTTTTTGGTGAAGTTTTGACAGTGCACTTCTCCTGCATTCCGCAAAAACTGCCATTCGCTTTGCTCAGGTTCGTGGATCTGCTGACCCGGTCTCTGTCATGGAAGCTAAGGCTTGGACAGAGCAAAGATAATTTCTGAGTTGAGTGTCCTGACCAAATGCAGGAATTGGATATCGCGGCATATGCGAAACTTCTTGCAAAGTGCTTTGCAAGCTTGAATCTCAGCAAGGGGTTGCTGAAGAAAGTGAAAAAAACAGCAATCCTTGCCTTTTTAAGAGCATGAGTCAGCATGAGGCGGTTTGATGGGTAAATGGCCAGAGGAGGGACTCAAAGTAAAAAAACATTCGGGATCGTTTGGGAATATGTTTCCAGCTCCTGCTAAGTTAAGGTCAGACAAAAACCCTTGAAGAAAGCAGAGGCCAACTTTGTTGACGTGCTTCGGCGGCTTTGCCCCTGATGGGAGCTTTGCTGCGAGCCAAAGAAGCTAACCATGTGAGCAGGCCAAACTTTGGCCGGTTGCTTTGCTCCTTTCTTACCAATGCGCAAACAAAAGTGAAAGGACTCTGAGGGAGAAGGCTTCGGCCAGCCATTTGTTTGGTTCTGGCTCTCAGTATTCCCTCCAACACTTTTGAACCACAGACTTTCTGACATACTTGGTTTGAGGCCATTTGGATAAAATAGTTACTGTACAATCTCAGTTTGGGACACACTACTGAAAGATATTGAAAGCCAGTTGGTTCAACGTGGATTGTGGTTCAATTCCAGCTGGCGTGGGACATTTTTCAACTTTGCGTGTTGTTCAGGAGGGGTCTGAGGACATGTTCCGATTGTTCCTGCATTCATAAAGTGCTGCCTTAATGTCAATGTGCGCTCATGGTGAGATGAGGATTTGTTTGAGCTTGTAGATCCGAAGAGTCTTCGAAGTCTTGAAGGATTTTCTGGAAAGGACAGCTGCATGTTCAGCACTTTGGGCTTGGCGATTGCTACAATGCCAACTTTCAATTGTGCAATCCATACCAAAGAAGGCATTCATACCCCACATACTTTCGTCGGTGTTCAAAAGAGAGCTCGTGCAGTCTCCACGGGAAGTTGCGACAGGTCAAAGGTGACACATGGTCCCAAGCCACTGGTGCAGATGCGCTCTCCCGCTGAAAAGGATTACTTTCCTCAGCTTGTTTTGATCTCTCCGTGTTAAAGAAGATACTCCTGCGACTGGCTATGAAACCTCTAAATGAACGCGCTTGTTGTGTGGCAACAAACAACTTTCAACATGGTCAGAGGTCAATAGCAACACATTGACCAATGTCTTCTTGACACGGGATGTGCCGCCAAGCTGCAGGCCAAGCATCCACGGGCTGCCCCGGCTCGCCCCGGCTCGCCCTGCACTCTTGGCTCTCGGCCCGCCGCACCCCGCTGCAGTCCCAGAGCTTAGTGTTGAGGATGTGGTGCAAGCCATTCATCGCTTCAGCCGTGGGAGTGCCGCAGGGCCTACTGGGCTTCGTGGTGACCATCTCCGAGAAGCTCTGGCATCAGCCCATGGTGATGAAATGGCTGTGCACCTGACCGAGGTTGTCATGCTGTTGGTGCGGGGCGCAGCCTTGCCGGAGGTTGCGCCGCATCTGGCTGGGGCCAGCTTGCATGCTTTGCCCAAAGGGGTCGCTGATGTACGCCCCATAGCTGTTGGAGAGACTCTACGGAGGCTGACTGCCAAGTGCCTTTGTGCAGACGTGAGGCGGCCTGCTCAGGAATGGCTGTGCCCTTTGCAAGTTGGTGTGGCCACCCGCCATGGCACTGAGGCTGTGGTCCATGCCGCCCGCCAATGGGTTCAACGCCATGCTGGCCAGTCTGACTTTGTGCTGCTGAAGGTTGACTTCGCTAATGCTTTCAACACTCTTGACAGGGCTTCGCTTCTTCGCGAAACTCGCCTTCAGCTTCCTTCATTGTCACCTTGGGCCGAATGGATCTACAGCCACCATTCTCGGCTCCTTTTCCATGGAGCGCCGCTCAGCTCTGAGGCTGGCGTTCAGCAAGGGGACCCCCTGGGCCCTCTACTGTTTTCTTTGGGCTTGCAGCCTGCCCTGCAGGCTGCCCGCTCAGGGCCGCCGGGGCAACAGCCTTCATTGGTCGTGCTACTTGGATGACGTTTGCATTGCCGGCCCCTACAGGGATGTCAGTGCAGCCTTGGTTCGCCTCACCGCTGCGGCCCGTCAAGTTGGGTTACAGGTGAACCCAGCCAAGTGTGAGCTCGTCGCTTGCGGTGGGGCCGCGGCCACCGTCGACCTCAGCCTTTTCCCTGCAGGCCTACCCTTCAACCAAACTGGCGCCTTCACTTTGCTTGGTGCCCCTATTGGCGCTGCTGCTTACTGCGAGAGCCACACTCAGTCCGAGCGAGTTGACAAGTCTTTGCCCTTGTTGGAAGCTCTGGCCACACTCGGTGATGCACAAACTGCCCTTCTCCTCCTTCGACATTGTGCTTCCTATTGCCGATTGGTCTATACTACCCGAGCTACTCCGACGCTGGGTTTGGGACGTGCCTTGGAGGGATTCGATGCCGCCGTGCGGGCATGCCTGGAAGCTGCTTGCACGGGACCCCTCACAGCGGAGGCTTGGCTCCAAGCTTCCCTGTCCACCAGGGCTGGCGGCTTGGGCTTGCGCAGTGTCGCCCGCCATGCTGCCGCTGGCTATGCTGCCTCCCTTGCTGCTACAGTCGAGCTTTGCTTGGACATCGACCCAGCATACACATCAAACCTTGCGCAGGCTCTTGCTGAGGTGAACTTGACGCTCCCAATTGGAGACCGTGTCCCGGCCCCAGTGCCGCCTACTATTCGGCAACAAGAGTTGTCCCGGGCGCTGGACCGAGCTGTGGTTGCCCAACTTGCGGAAGCGGCCCCTGGCCGTGAAGCCTTCCGAGCCCACTTTCAACTGCTGCAGCAACCGGGTGCTGGGGCTTGGCTCCATGCCCTCCCCAACCCGGCCTTGGGTCTACATGTGGTCAGCCCCTTATATCGAATCATGGTGCGCTTGCGCCTGCGGCTGACCGCACAGCAGATCGCTTTGGAGATCACGCTCGGGTCTGCCCCTGTGGTGGGGACCGGGTCAAACGGCATAACCAGCTGAGGAACCTCCTGGCGGCTCGGGCCAAGGCTGCCGGGCTGCACCCTGAGCTCGAAAAGGCTGACCTCTTGCCACCTCGGCCAGAACTTCAAGGAGGTGCTGAAGATGGCTCGCGCGGCAGCAGTCGCCGTCGGCCGGCCGATATTTGGGTGCCCAATTGGAACCTCCACGGGCCTGCTGCTTTTGACCTGGCGGTCACTTCTGGCATGCGGCAGGGCCACATCCCTGCGTCGGCAGCAGATGGCTCTCGTGCCGCTGCCGACTACGAGTCGAAGAAGTGCCAGCACTTGGACACCCTTCAACACTGCACTAGTGAAGGCCTTCAATTCCTTCCTCTGGTCGTTGAGGGTTGCGGCGGAGGTTGGGGACCTACTGCCCTTAAGACCTGGCGACAGCTCGCCGATGCTCTTGCAGCTTGGAGTCTCGGCGCCTCCAAGAGGTTTTGGGCATCTCGCTGCAGCGGGAGAATGCCCGTGCCGTTCTTCGACGGCTCAAGTAGGTGATGACCCTTGTCGACATGGTGCACTGAGAGCCGGGCTTGTTCCCATTGGCGGGCACGCCTCTTCCCTTCTAGGAGGCCGAGTTTGCCGCCTAATTCGCCTGTTGGCTTTAGGTCCGCTGCGGCGCACCCTGCCTGTGCCATTTCGTGTCCTGTTGTTTGCTCCTCCTTCGGCCCCCTCCCCTGAGCTGGGGCTCGCTGGAGCTGTGCCCTCAGGACGCGTGGTTCTGTCTCCCTTCCTTTGACGGCCGTTGTATGAGATTAGGCTGTACAGGGATGAGACTGTTTGAAGATCCATGTTTGGACTTGTATGGACCTTGTTACTATATACAGTAGTAGTAATGGCCTCCAACCTGCTAGCGATGGCCTCCACCTAGTAGCTTCTTGCTACTAGTAGTGCGTTTTCGTTTAACCGTGAAAGTCGCCCTGGACCTAGTGGCCGTAGCCGTTTCTTAGGCTGATTACTTTGGTTGGCATTGACGGATGAACACCCGAAATCTCAGGGCCGAACACATTTGCTTTTCTTCATTTTCTTCGGCTTAGACTTAGTTGCAAACACTGTATAGTATAGTGCAGATCCGTTCCGGGAGAGATTCTTGCATTTTGGTAGTGTCTTGTTAAAACGATGTGAGGGGTAGTGACGTGAAAAGACGACAACACGTTTAGATTTGTTCTTGTGGAATGACATGTCATGAAGTGTCATGAATCATGAGAATCACGGTGTGGAGGGTTTGGACAACCTCCGACGCCCTGCGAGATGTCCGCAGTTTTCTTTTTTTTGGGATGACACGGGATCCATTGATCTTGCGATGTGCAACCCACCTGGAGGCCCGGAGTTGGTAGAGGTGTCACTTGTTGGACTTCGACAGATGCAGGCGGCACCCATCAGTTTTGGTACTGTATATGTTTTAGATCATATCCCGGAGGCGAAGGAACTTCTAAAAAACTGCGGCGTCGCACATGAACTTCGCAATGAAACATCTACTATGTAGTTGGAAATGTTGGCGAAGTTAACTGATTCTGCTGTGGCACGATATCATGCACCACCCAGTTTTAGCCAAAGTCATCAAGGTCACTGTTACTGTTGTCGATCCTGCATCCCGCAGGAGTGTTTCATTCATCTCTAAGGTCCATAGATGCCTTGTGATGTTGAGTCATGATGCCAGAACATATGTCAGAACCAATCCCGCAACATATGCAAGACTTGATAGTATGTCAGACAAAAGCCCGATTGCACGGCAGAGCTGGCGCAGAAATGTGAGAATATCCGTGGCTCGGCTTGATTTCAGGTCCCTCAGGTCACAGTCTTAAACGACCAGGGCCCATTGCCTGAGCACAAGCCTGTCAGCTCACTTCCCAGTTCACTGACACTGCTCAACACTGGACTTGCAAAGGACCACAAAGAGCGCAGGGCTACGAAGTTGAGCAGCTGAACCAAGTCGTGCTTCATATGTCCTGTCCACTATTGGTTCTGGCATTTGTTCTGACATATGTTCTTGCACGAAGTCTGGCATATTTCCGACATGCGTTCTGGCATATGTTCTGACGTTTGTTCTGGCTCGTCCAAATATAGTTTCTTGTACACACTCTAATCACTCTTTTTTCAACCCCTTTGTGTATTTTTCAACCACTTGAAATTGTACATTTTTTAGAGGGTCTAAATTATATCCACTGCATGCTGCGTTCATCTCTCAGTCTTGTCTCGACCATGCGCATTATATAGCTCAGTGTACGTAATCATTTTGCGACCCCCTTGAAATTGTAGATTTTTCAGGGGTTCCGATTCATATCCATTTGCAGGCATTGTTGAATAGAAATTGGTTCCCCTGAAAACTACAATTTCCAGGGGATTAAAAACTATAGTAGTTATGTACAAGAGTCTTTACTGTTTGAACCAGCTGATGCATATGATGCTATATTAAGATATATTAAGACATAGACTGTTGAGAGGAGTCTTTTGTTTGCCTTTCATGGACCCGGTGATGGACATGAATGCACGTGATGCAATAATGAGAGACAAAGTAAGAAATAGATGATATGTGCAAACCATGTGTTTTTCAATGTTGTCTCCCACCCCATTTCTCTCCCAGACACGCCTCATGCTGAAGACTGAAGGGCATATGGCTGTGCGTGATGTTTCCAGTGTCCTCACGTTAGTCACTCATTGTATTGGGGCCTAGACATCTCACCTTTTGCCTGTTGCAGGACAGGTAGCTTTTGCATTACTCTCCACAACGCTCCACATACCGCCCACAGGCAACACATATTGTTGATATGGGGCGGGACGAGGACCACAAGTCTGCGGGAACATATCTATTTTCCCAGGTTCCTGAACCAAATCCGAAGCCAATTGACAACGATTTCACCAAGGACTTCTGCCTGGAACCTTCGTGAACTGGAGCTCCATTCCGGGCGCTCTCGGCGTTTTTGCTGAAGCCACAGCTCCACTGCTCAGCTGCGCCCGGCTGCGCCGTACGCAGTGCCGCGCACTAGGTGCACGACACGTGTTCGTTGAGTTGAGATGCATGGAGTGGGTTGCGGGAGTTTTGCGCATGCTGCAGCCCTTTCAGATTTCAGCCAGATATGGTGGCAGAAATGCAATAAATCCACAGCTTTTGAGGAACTTCACCCAGTGGGGTTGCACTGAAGAATCCGGCCTTCTGGCTTTCCATTTTCATGGGGGGACATTGAGACATGAAGGATGAAAGGACATATATAGTAATATGTGTCCATGAACCGAACCCTGACAGCGGAGAGTTGTAAATAATGCAATTCTGAACAAGCTGCCAATTGTCACACCAATCCCATGATTCGAGGCACAGGTGCTGAGCCATGGGATGCAAAGCATGCAAATGTGCAAAGGCTGTGACTGAGCGAGATGTCGAGTTAGACCCTTTGCTTGATAAGGCAGAGCCTGAAGGGACTGCAGAAGCCACAGAGGCACCAGCAGAGGACTTGTGGCACTTTCCGCCTGTGGCAGAGGATTCACTGGCTGTGCAATTGAGCGGGGGGTGCTTGGACGTCTTCGTGCTCTTCGTGGCATTGTTGGGGGGACGATACATCACAGTCATTGCACTACAGGAAGTGAACGTGAATGAGTTTGCCCGTGTTTTGGTAAGCCTTCAGCGCTTAAACTGGGTGGCTTTGATGGGATCACTGTGCCTGCTCTTTCTTTTCGTATTGTTCCTGGGCGCTGTTCGTCCGATGCGAGGAGGCAAGGGCTACGATTTCAACATGCACCGCCAGGAACCCCTGGCCCAAGCGCTTCATATCTCTCTTACGAAGATAAGAAAGCTTTTCATTCCTGTCTTTGGGGCAGGGTACACATGCTTCAGACTTATTGCTGATATAATGGCCTTGAAGGACCTCTATGAGAACTGTGATTTTGGGGCCTTTGGAGTAAAGTGTTCGATGATTCTGCTGGGAGCCTGCTGCGGTGCCGTGTGGGCATATCGATCAACACCCGATGCCTTGATGTACATGCCACCGTTGGGCATCCGCTCCAAGCAAGTATCTTGGCTACCTGTTTGTACAGCCTTCCTGGCATTTTCTCAACTTCTGCCAGCTTGCCTTCTACCCCTCTGCTTGATCTTGTTCATGACTTCATGCACAGCTCCTGAGTTGGAACGTGCTTTGGAAGTGCTCCATCTGTGCAAAGTGCTCGATGCCTGTTTGCAAGCCTCGCTGTTGACAGAGACGGTGCCGAGTTTCTTTCTCAATATTTTCCTGCTGGCCGGGTCCGGACTTTCTTCCACCAGTTGGCACGTGTTGGCTCTCTCCACCCTGATGGTGTCTCGGAGTTTCAAATGCTGGCCAGATCCCTTTTCCACTCACAGGACAATCAGGTTTTGTATTTGCAGGAATCCATGAATGAATCTCAGGCGGGCTGTTCCTTGACCAGAACTTTCGCATTGATCGATGGCCGGGGCGAAGTGTCATATTTCGCCACAGCCTCAGGTGGAAAATGGGGCATTGCACCAAGAGAAACACAAATTACCTGTGGTGGCTTTCTAAGAGAAATGTAGACTTGAAAGCAGCAAGCTTGCCAATAGGGCCACAGCTTCGATGCCTAGGTGAATGGCTTGCCTACTGTTGTAGGCACTGCGCCGCTAGCATCTGGATTGTGTCCAAGTTTAGATTCAGTCAGGTTATCCAATTTGAGTGCAAGTTCATTTTCTTATTTTTGTTAGATCTTAAGCTTGTGCGAGTTTGGGAGTTGAGTTGGGGAGGTAGCACAGTGAGGTTTGTGTTCATCTTGCTTTACCGAGCATCTACATTGCTTGCCAACAGCTTCCTGCCTTTAGCGTTGCAAACGACGATGGATTGGACTGGTCTTCCGGTAGCGCTGATGTTGTTGGGGCTTGACCTCCTACTGTCGCTTGGTCACAAAGTTCTTGAACCAAAACGACAGCTGTAGATCAATGTGTGGTTCGACGGAACGCCCAACTTGCAACATCTTGGAGCCCCTCTAGGTTGGTCGCGTAGACTAAGAACTCATGCTCCACCACAGGTTAGGCCTTAGCCCTCAGAGCAGAGAGTTCCAGATAATCTATTCAGAAAGGATTCAATGCTGATGAATGCTCCGCTTGTTGGAGTTTCTGGTGAGGCAACTACTGCAGGTCTGGTGTGTGACGAAGAATTGGAAGAAGCTGCCTTTCGCGATTTGGGCTCTACTGACCCCCCCTGAGCCATTGCTCCACTCCAGCCGGCCGCTGTTCACCTGCAAACTTCAGATATGGGTCACCCTGAAGGCAGTGCTTTATGCGGCATTCTTCGGGCTTTTGCTAGCGATCGAGAAGTTCTACGATTTCCAGCCGAATTACTCAGATCCCATTGTCCGAGTGCTTTTCGTGGCCATTTGCGCGCAGTGGCCGCTCTTCCTTTCGTTGCGCCAGGCGTCATATCCCCGCAGCAACTTCAATTGCAAACTGCCGGAGGACTTCACCACTGAAGAGGTGCCCATTCACCTGCTAAAGATATGGTGGGACACTTGCGTCTGCAGAGGTCATTCCAGGTGTTCTGATGTGTTGTGTAAAGCTGCCAAAAACTATGTTAAAGCTTTGTTTGCAGATTTGCCGTACGTTTGTTGGATTGCAATTGTCCAGCAATTGTCCATAGTCTGTCAGAACCACCAGCCCACAATCATCTTCCCCCTTTCCTTAGAAGCCTTCATGTCACCAAGGACGCCCATCCTCACAGAGACCTCTCCAGCTCTTCTGTGGGGGATGTGGGAGCAGAAATCGTGGCGCAGATGCTGGTATCTGATAAGGTCGTTACTGCGCTGAAGCTGACAGATGACAAGATCGGGCCGAACCTCGGGAAAGATATAGTCAGTCATCAAAGTTATTCTATAGTCTATAACCAGTTTCAACTTGTTCATTTAAGAAGCGGCCAAACATGAGATGAAAAAAGACTGAGGACAGGAGCTTGGGCTTTGTGTTCCGCCTTGTCCAAAAATGACACCTTAACAAGCCTCTTTTTGGACGGCAATCCCATCGGTGCCGCTAGATTCGCTAGATTGCAGCTCCTGTCGACCTCCAAGCTGGAAGTGCTGAGCCTCTCTCGAATCCGGCTGGGCAACAGCCTGGAGCCCTTGGCAGAACTGCTTCAAAGGACAAACACTGGGGAAGCTGTCATCACTCACCAGGCATATTTGTTAGGTTTTTGGCGTATTCGAAGTGGGTTTTCGCACGTCGAGCTTCACATCAAACATTGTGCCGACCTTGCCGTGATTCATGCACTTGTACCATGTTTTGTACTGAGGGTCGTTGTATTGTTCTAGGTTGGATGCTTCTGTGCGTTGCACCTTTGCACTGCAATGCTTGTGTGTGAAACATGTGAAACCAGGACACAGACTTTGAAGAAGCTTTATCTCAACGAAACTGACATGGGACCGCTTGGGGTTGGTGTCTTGTCCGATGGGCTTCGTGAGAATCGCAGTTTGGAAGTGCTCACTTTGAACAAGACGCCTGGCAACGTTTGCCAGTGGTGCTGTTACTGTGGTTTTTGCTGGGGGTTTGAACTCAGCATTGTTCAGCACTGTGAGGCTTCCAGTTGAAGAAGCTGTATACAAGCAGGGGTTGGAATTTGGAAAGGGTTGTAAGATGCATCACGTTTTAAAGGACACGAAGGTGCTGCTGTGCTTTCTTTTTAGGGTGATCCAAGGAATGACATGGGAGGGGGCATGTCCAAACTCATCGGTGCACTGCGCTCCTGCTGGCTCTCCACTATTTACCTGGCCGAAAATGACTTGACGGATGCGCAGCTCAAGGAACTACTCGGAGCTTTGCCTCAAATGGACACGCTGAAGAAGCTGAACTTGGCCAGAAATCATTTCTCCTTGCAGCTTTTCGTGGAGGTCATGGAACAACAGCCGGAGGTCGTGATCAGAATTCGGTCACTGTCGGAGCTCCGTGTGAGTGCGGCCTATGAGGCAGACGAAAAGATGGTTCTCCGCATGAAGGAAGCTGGCGTCAAAGTGGAAGTTGAGTGACAGTGATGGCCGTGATGGCCGTTTCACCCACTTATATCCAGTTAGATGAGCTGAGATCATTTGATCCGTGTTGCTCCCAGGTCACAAAGAAGAGACACCGAATTTCCAAGGTCAACAGGGGAACTGGCTCATTTTGGTCGAACTAGAGTCTTTGGGTGGTCGAACGGAGGAACTGATTCATCACACCCACCCCTTCTGCAAAATATGTTCATTCTTCCCCTCAGACCAGCAGCACGAACTGTCGGCATGGCACTCTTTCACTGTCACATACTTTCACCATCCTTGCCCACAAGCAAGAACAAATCAAAGTACAATTTAAAATTGGGTAACCGTTTTTTTTTCCACCCTTCAACCTTTTTTTTTTCAACCCGCCCTTTTTTTCCACCCTCCACCTTTCTTTTTCACCCTCTGAACTTTTTTTTTCACCCTCGAACCTTCTTTTTTCACCCTCTACCCTTTCTTTTTTGACCCTCGACCCTTTCTTTTTCACCCTCCTTCCTTTGTTTGGTGTGTTGGTTGGTTCGGCCTGCTTGGCTTGTTGGCTGCTTGGATTTGGAGAAAACACATACAGTGATGGATGGATCATGGACGGAGAAAACTGTTACTTTTTGGTGTGTTGGTTTGTTGGTTTGCTTGCCGTGATTGCTTGCGTGATACAGTGCTTGATGGACATACATTTTTCCTGTTTGTGTGCTTGGTTGATGGATGGATGCTGTGTCAATGGGAGGGCGCAGCGCCTCCCCACAATGCAAACCAATCCTCCCCCGCGAAGGACTGGGGAATGCACAGAGTTATGATGAGTTATTGAAGTACCGGGCCCACCTCCCAAACAACTCAGCCTTTTCTGCCGTTGCGTGAGTTGCAGCTTGAGCCACGCGAAACGTGGTGAACATGTCAATCTTTTTGGTCAAATGGTCATATGCCTTCCATCAAAGCTGAATCACAGTCCCCCCCAACATGGTTGGCCAAAAGGATCAAGCTGGAGAGCAGCTCGCCCATTTGGGCTTCATACTCAGACAGCAGCCGGCGCTGAGAGGCCAAGTGGCTCCGCCGCTTGAAGACCGGGTCGTCCTTCCTCCGGTTCATCTCCTCTGAGACATCCACGAGACTCAACCATCCAGTGCGCAAGAACTGCGTCATGGCGTCGTTCGCCTTCAGTGGATCTAGCTTGGTCATGCAATCCACCAGCATCTTCTGGTGAGGCACCCATCGTACCATGGAATGTGTGTCCTGAAGATCGCGCAAGATGATTGCGAGTTCTTGGATTTTCCCTCAACAAATTGAGGGACTTGGCATCCGTCACCGAGCACTGCTGTTGTCGGCCACCAAGCGTGCACTGGCCCCGCGTGATCACCATGTGAGGACTGAGAGAGTCCCTCCAGGCGCTGAGCTGAACATCATGCTTCGTGGCATCACGGTACATCACCTGCAGCCAATCCACTTCATTGACCCCTTGAAGCATGGCCTGAGTCTCACCTCCAAAGGTCGAAAAGACTTTGCGCTTGAGCTTGGACGATCGCCATGCCAGTGGAGATGCTCTGACGGGCGTCTTGCCCTCTGGAAGCTTCTCGGCTGTGAGGATCATCCAAGCTAATTGGGTGGCGTCTTGGGGAAGACATGGGTTGCCTTAGTGCATGCCAAGAACCGCATTCCACTCAATGTCGTCGGAGGCCTCAAAGAGCTTCCGATCTTCCTCATTCATGTCCTTGAGCGAGACCTCGTCGTTGCGCTTCTTGGCGAGGCAGTTCCAAAGGAGTGGAGGGTATGTCTGAGCTTTCTTGGGAAGGCCACCGATGAGAACCTGATGATCGTGGTCTTCCGTGCATTGTGCTTGGAACAGATCAAAGGCCAGCCAAGGGTTATTCGTCGCCAGCTTGGTACCTTTGCGGGAGAGGGTGCCATCCTTCACCACAGAAAAAAGAAGGAGCGCTGGTCAAAAGCCATCAATGCCACTTCTGGTCGATGGAGCAACTTCTGTCTGGTTGGCAGGTTGACCCAAAGTAGTCGCCTGAGTCGATCTGGTAGTTGACGGCTTCCAGGCTGAAAATGCCTGTCGGCATTTCTTCTTTCTGACACCCCAGCCGCCACAGTGGGGCATCAAGCTCTGGTTCAACCGTGGCTGGTTCCCCTCTCCCCATTCACCCCGGCTGCCCAGCCAGTCCCGGTGCACCATCCTCCGTCTCCGTGCTGCTGCCACGCTGCGCTGCTGCTCACCGCCTTGGCCAAAGGTTCGGAAGTTGTGGGGGGGGCCGAGGCAGCAGCAGCCGCTTCCATAGCTCCGGACTACCAACTGGAGTACCTGGCCCACCTCCGGCAGCCTTTTGTGCCGTTGTGTGAGTTGCAGCTGAGCCACGCGAGGCGTGGTGAACATGTCAATCCTTTTGGTCAAGTGGTCATGTGCCTACCATCAAGCTGAATCACAGTTATGTTGTTTGGTTGCTTGGTTTGTTGGTTGCTTGCTTGGTTTGTTTGCTTGGCCGCGTTGTTTCTTCGTTGGGTGGTCGGTTGGTGGGCGCTCCGTTGGTGGATGGATGCGTGGATGGATGCTGCGCTGCCTCACGTCCCGGAGGCGTCCGGGTCAGTTTCCGGTGGTTCCCGTCGTTCCGGATAGTCTCTGCGCAGTTTCCGGAGGGCCCCAAAGGGTTAGTCCCAAAAAGTTTTGGAGGTGAAAACTACGGGCTTTGCGGCTGCAAACACGCGGCGTGAAACTAACCGGAGGTGACGTCTTTCTCTGTGCAGGCTCCCGGGGTTACCTGCTTCGCCGGCGGAGGGTTGAAAAGAAAAGGTCGAGGGTGAAAAAGAAGAGAGCTCAAAGTTATGCGGGTGCTCTTTTTGCGCGTTTTTTGTGGTTTTTCTTAGATTTTGTAATGTTTTGAAAGAGTTTCCACGGTTGCGATCTAGATATGTTCTTGTGCTCCTGTTTCCCAAACAAACCAACTTTCTTTTTTCAAGCAACCTCTGGATACCACTCTACCCTTCCTTGCCCGTAAGCATTCTCATTGTTTCAAAGGTAGCGCTTTTTGTCTTCCCCCCCACATTCTTTATGAAATGGAGAGAAGAGCATTATTTTGAAACACCATGTGCCCACCAGGCCCAACAAAAGTTGAGAAACTTGCTTAGTAGTACTGCGTGACTGGTTGGAATTGGTTTTTGCGTGGCCTTCTTGACGCCCATACCCATAATAAGCCTCATCCTCATTTTCAGGGTGATAGGGAACCTTTCTGCGATGCGAGCATTGGGAATTCACATCCTACCCCACAAGTTCGATTGGACCAATCCTGCTCATCTCCACTGCTCTCACACAATGGCTCTTCAGGTCTATGCTCCATATCCCCCCATCTACGACGAAATCTTCCAAAGAACCTTGTGAAGCCCATGGAACGATCCAGCCATAGATATACTGAGGGTCTGAATTGGCTGTGTGGCCACTACTCATTCCCAAGCTCGTGAAGAACCTTCTCTTTACTCCAACCTTCTTGCCCACACATAGACATACATGAAGTCAGGTTGCACCAAACCTGGCATGCTCAGCGTGCTCCCAATGTTCACACAACATTGCCAAGGACATTCTTTCTCGTGATGCCACCCAAGCGCAAAACCTCACTGGTCACCTCTTCTGCTGAATGCACCATGGCTCAATACCTCACCAACACTCACCCAAAAGTAAACCAATAGATTGCGCAAAAATATGCTCTACCAAATAGCATGAGTGATGAGGACCAACCAATGTTGTACCTGATCTTCCATTGGGCCACCTGACCTAATCATGCACAAACCCATTTCCACCAGGCATTCCATGGACCCAATTTATTGCCCAGCAAGTTTCCCTCTCACATGGTGTCCATGCGCTCTTGAAGGCCAAAAAACCCAATCCAAGCACCATCCATATTGCGCGGCTGTCCAGGGCATTTGCTCAATGGCTTGTATAGCAATACAGTTTGCTCAAAGTCAGGATCCCAATCTCTCATGCCCAGGTGTTGCATCTACGCAGCCGCCTTTGGTCCCAAATGAAATTGCATACATGCAGCCACAAGCCCAATGCCAGCTGTTTGTTTCATCCGCATTTGAAGTTCCATTTTCCTATGCTCTCTAGCTATATGCCCATCTCTTCCACACTCCACCATTAAGACCATACTATAGGTCTCCACCCTCACCGCATAGAGCCTGAATCCCCCATTCCTTCTCCACGTTCTGATATGTAACGATCCAATGGGCATGGCTTTGATCTGTCAGATCTCTCATCAAGCTTTTGCAAAAATACTGGCTCTCATGATTCGCACACAGAAGTCCATCAACCATCATCTATCAGAAAGTCCATGACATCACATCATACAACATCAGGTCATCACCTCTACTATGAGGGGATCTCGTCTCCAAGACCTCCAATCTCAATCGGTCCTCAATCTCCAGCAACTGGGCCTGGGCCTGGGCTTCTCCGGGGGGGGGGAGCGAAAAATAAAGGGGGTGGTGCGAAAAAAAAAGAATTGGTTGTACTATTCCACGAGCATTTTCTTTTTTCGCCCCCGCCCCGCCCGGAGAAGCCCAGGCCCCAGTTGCTGGAGATTGAGGACTCATTGAGATTGGAGGTCTTGAAGACCAGATCCCCCTCATAGAGGTGATGACATGATGATGTATGATGTGATGTCATGGACTTTCTGATAGATGATGGTTGATGGACTTCTGTGTGGGAATCATGAGAGCTAGTATTTTTGGAAAAGCTTGATGAGAGATCTGACAGATTACAAATCGACATTTTTGCTAGACACATTCTGCAAAACAACAAACATTTTTAAAACCACGCGGAACAACCGCAAACCACAAAAACGCGTAAAAACCACACCCGTATAACTTTGTTTTCTGAAAAAGAAAGGGTGAAGGGTGAGAAACCAATGTGAAGGGTGCAAGAAACATGGTACAGGGTGAAAACGGAAGGGTGCAGGGTGAAAACAATGTTTTAGACGGGTGAAAAACAAGGTTCCAAAGAGTGCGGAAAAAAAGGA